ATGTTGGATGCCCAGAATGTTAACAGCGGGCTACCTCTGGGTGCTGGAATTGGGGTAATTTTTTTTTTTTTTTTTTGGTTGTTTTTAACTTTCTTCTTCCTATTCTTAGACTGCTTGAGTTTAAAAAAACAATAATGTGAATCATCTCCATCAGCAAAGAAAAACCCAGCTATTTTAATTTTGCAAAATAAATAAGGAGAGTGGTTGCGTCCGCATGTGGGTGACAGGGTTATCTGTGTGGTTGTGATGTAACTGGTATGGATATGTGCATCCCGGCGCAGCCCACCGCTAACTGGAACAGGGGAGCGATGGCTTCAGAATAAGGGAGATAGAGAAGAACATGGTGGGAGGTGAGAAAGATGTACAAACCCAGAAATCTGATAGGGCCGTGATTGTGAGGTCTAGAAGCTTCCCAGTACGTAAATCTCCTTGGTTCATTATCGGTATTTGGAAAGAAGGCAGAAGATGGGGGCGTGGCGTAGAGCTTTTCCTGATGTTTCCCCCTTGCTCAGTCTTGAGAAACTAAGGTGCTGAGGAAGTTGGGGTATTTAAAAGTAGTGTCTTGGCGCCACCTAGTGGCTGCACCCTGTCATTTCACCCTCCGCCTCTCCGTGGAGGCCGATCCTTTGATGCCTCTGCTCTGGTGGCCTTTTCGTGGCAGGCGCCGCGATGCCCCCCAGGGATCTGCGGGCAGTGGGAATGCCTCGTTAATTTACCCCTTCCCTCCTGTCTCAGGCCCACAAAGCAAAGTTCTGACTGAGCCGTGGTCTGGCAGTTGAAGAGCAAAAGGATGCCTCGCGGTCAGAACCAATCTCCCCTTCTCTCTGGCAGCCTTAAAGCGGGGCCCGGGCTGCTCCAGCAGAGGAGCCGTCCTGCTCCTCAGGGCTGTGCTGGGTTAGGGTTCTGGGGTGGTGCCCGTGGTGGGCTCCTTGGCATGCCGCTGGGCTCCCGGGAGACACCTGCGGGTCCGAGCCATACCATCGTCCCCCAGGCTTCTTCCCCAGCACCGTTCACCCACACAGCCGCCCACCAGCACAGATGACGTCATCCCTCCGCCCAGCGCACAGCCTCCCCTCACGCCCTCCCCACACAGCGCGTCGGTTCTGCCTGGGCTGTCACCAGTTCACCAGTTGCCATTGAGTTGCACCGACTCGTGGTGACCTCACGTGTGTCACGGTAGAGCTCTGCTCCACTAGGTTTCCAGTGGCTGATTTGGGGGATGTAGATCGCCAGGCCTTTCTTCCGAGGCGTCTCTGGGTAGATTCCCACCTTTTGGTTAGCAGCTGAGCTTGTTAACTGCTTGCACCAGCCAGGGGCTCCCCCTCAGTTGTCCTCCTAAACATTAGGTCTCAACCCTGCCCGGTCATCTTATAATCTGCTGCCCCCCAGTCTCTGTAGAAGCCCCCTAAGCGGTCTCCTTTCCTAGGCCTTCTGCACACAGAAGCTCAGGGGTCTCTAAAGCCGAGACCTGATGGTCACTCCCTGGTTCAGATGTTTCTGTGACTTCCCAGCGCTCATAGGGGAAGACCGGGATTTTAGCCTGGGTTGGGAGGCTCTCACTCCAGAGGCCCCAGCACTGCTTGCTCTCTGGGCCTTGACCCAGCCACAATGACTTTCCGTCACCTTCCACCCCCCACCCCAGGCTTTCTCCCTCTTGTGGTCCCTTTGCCTGCCCTCCCTTCTTCTCTCGACTCCCCCCTGGTTAACCTCCACTTATCCGTTGGTTCTCAGAGGGACCTTCCTCAGGGAGTCTTCCCTAGACCCACAGGCAGAATCAAATCTACCTGTGATGTGCTTGGAAGTACAGGACCCCTGCCCTCCCTTCAGCCCATCCTGGCATGGGATATCAGCTCCACGGGTGTGATTGTTCGGTGACTCCATTCCCCCACTTTAGACCAGTGGTTACCCAGGCGATTTGGCCCTCCAGGGGACATTCGGCAATGTCTGGGAGCATTCTTCTTTTTTTTTTCCCCATACAAAAATGTATACCCTAATTGCTCTCCCCATACTGTGACAGCACACTCCTTTCCACCCAATTCCCCACATCCATTCAACCAGCTCCCAACCCTCTCTGCCTTCCCATCTCACCTCCGGACAGAAGCTGCCCCTTTGGTCTCTTGTATCTACTTGAGCAAAGAGGCACACTCCTCACGAGTATCACTTTATGTCCCACAGTCCAGTCAATCCCTGTTTGAAGAGTTAGCCTCAGAAACTGTTTTAGTTCTGGGTTGATAGAGAATTCAGGGGCCATGCTTTCCAGGGTTCCTCCAGTGTCAGTCAGACCATTAAGTCTGGTCTTCTTACTAGAATTTGAGTTCTCCACCCCACCTTTCTCCTGCTCCATCAGGGACTCTCTGTTGTGTTCCCTGTCAGGGAGGTCATTGGTGGTAGCCGGGCACCATCTAGTTCTTCTGGTCTCAGGCTGATGAAGTCTCTGGTTTATGTGGCCCTTTCTCTCTCTTGGACTACTACTTTCCTTGTGTCTTTGGTGTTCTTCATTCTCCTTTACTCCAGGTGGTTGGGACCAATTGATGCCTCTTAGATGGCTGCTTGCAAGCTTTTAAGACCTCAGATGCCACTCACCAAAGTAGGATGCAGAACGTTTTCTTAATAAGCTTTGATATGCCAATGGACCTGGATGTCCTCTGAAAGCATGGTCCTCTGGGAGCATTCTTGGTCGTCCCAGCTTGGGGAGTACTCCTGGCACCTGGTGGGTCTTCTGCTGAACCACACACACACAGCACAGCTCCCAGCAGCAGAGAGCTGTCTGTCCCAGAAGGTTGGCAGTACCAAGGATGAGATGCTCTGCTGTGGACTCAGAGTCCCATGGAGGCAGAGACCAAGGTGATTGGGTGGCAGGCACTCCTGAGAAAGAGCCCCTGTGGAGGTCTGCAGTGCCACTGTCAACACTTTGACAGACTTATCATGAGACATAGAGCCACCACGTCCCTTCAGACCTGCCAGCTACAAGGGGTAGAAAGCCGGATTAGCCAGGCCTTGCCTCAGACCCCTCATCAGGATAATTGCACAGGGTACCTGGCCCAGAGAAAAGCATTCCTTTTTGTGTGCCTTTGCTTTAAAATAAGGAGCCCTGGTGGCACGGTGGTTAAGCACTTGGCTGCTAACAAAAGGTCAGCAGTTCAAACCCACCAGCTGTTCCGTGGGAGAAAGATGTGGCAGTCTGCTTCCTTAAAGATTTACAGCCTTGGCCTCTGGGGTCTTAAAAGCTTGTGAGTGGCCATCTGTTATACTCCACTGGTCTCACCCCTTCTGGAGCAAGAGAGAACAAAGAAAACCAAAGACACAAGGGAAAGATAGTCCAAAGGACTAACGGACCACAGCTGCCACGGCCTCCACCAGACTGAGTCCAGCACACCTAGATGGCGCCCAGCTACACCACCGACTGCTCTGACAGGGATCACAATAGAGCGTCCCGGACAGAGCTGGAGAAAAATGTAGACCAAAATTCTAACTCACAAAAAAAAAAAAGACCAAACTTACTGGCCTGAGAGACTGGAGAGGCCCCGAGAGTATGGCCCCCCAGGCACCCTTTTAGCTCAGTAATGAAGTCACTCCTGAGGTTCACCCTTCAGCCAAAGATTAGATACCCCCATAAAACAAAATGAGACTAAAGTGGCATACTAGCCCAGGGGCAAGGACAAGAAGGCAGGAGGGGACAGGAAAGCTGGTGATCTGGGAACCCAAGGTCGAGGAGGGAGAGTGTTGACATGTCGTGGGGCTGTTAACCAATGTCACAAAACAATATGTGTACTAACTGTTTAATGAGAAGCTAGTTCGTTCTGTAAACCTTCATCTAAAGTACAATTTAAAAGAAGAAAAGAAAAGATTTACAGCCTTGGAAATCCTATGGGGCGTTTCTACCCTGTCCTGCAGGGTTGCCTCCTGAGTCAAAATCCACTTGACAGCAGTGGGTTTGGTTTTGGTGAGTGGCTTTAAAATTATTTAAAATCTCATTTTAAAGTGTATTTAGTCACACTCTGATCTGTTTACAATAAGATTTCATCTATAATTTTAGTTATTTGGGACATTCCACAAGTCGCATAGCCTAAACTCATCAAAACTTCATCATGGGAAAAAAAAGTCGGGTGACTGCTAGGTTGAAGGAGGCTGAGGAGTTCTAGCGGCTAAATGCAGCCTGTGATGGGGGAACAGTGGTAAACCACTATTGGGGGGCAGCGGGGAGGTGGGAGCACGTGCTGTGTGAGATAATAGTGTTGAATTCGTGTTTATTTTCTTTGGTGTGACAGTAACGTCACGGTCGTGGGAGCGTCCTTATTCCCAGGAGATGCAGGCAGGGTGGTCAGGGGTGAGGTGGTGTGACGTCTGTGGCCTGTTTTCAGGGGCTTAGTATGAGTGTGCGTGTGTGCGAGAGAGTGTGTGTGTGTTATATGTGTGTGTGTTGTGGGCATGTTGCATGGGAATATGTGTGTGGTGAGTGTTGCGTGTGTGTATGTGTGTGTATTGTGGGCATGTTCCATGGGAATGCGGGTGTTGCGTGTGTGTGTGAGTACATGTGTATGTGCTGCGTGTGTGAGTGTATGCGTGTTATGTGAGTGTGTTGTGTGTATATGTGTGTTTGTGAGTATATGTGTGTTCTGTGTGTATGTGAGTGTGTTCTGTGTGTGTTGTGTGTGTGTGTGTTATGTGTATGTGAGTGTGTGTTGTGTGTGTATGTGAGTGTGTTCTCTGTGTGTGTGTTGTGTGTATGTGAGTGTGTTCTCTGTGTGTGTGTTGTGTGTGTGTGTATGTGTGCGTGTGTTATGTGTGAGTGTGTGTGTGTGTGTATGTGAGTGTATGTGTGTGAGTGAGTGTGGAGGGAGCGATGGAGAACGGATGTGGCAGAGGGTTAGTATCCGGCTCTAGGTGCGGGGAGGCGGCTGCTCCTTTACGGCCCCCCGTCCCGGGGCTGGCCTCTTTAGACAGGAAGGGGTGGTCTGCTGCGCTGGAAGCCCCCTGAGGCCCGCCTTGTGTCCTTTCAGTGTGCAGCTCGCCGCCCGTCCACATGAAGGTGCAGCCCCTCAACCAGACGGCGCTGGAGGTATCCTGGAGCCAGCCCGAGACCATCTACCACCCGCCCATCATGAACTACATGATCTCCTACAGCTGGACCAAGAACGAGGACGAGAAGGAGAAGACATTCATCAAGGACAGCGACAAAGACCTGGTAAACCCTCCCTGTTCCGGTCGCGTTCGGCTGTCCTGCGGTTAGGGGCCTGTCCCTGCTCGCCCGACATCTGCACGTGCCCCGTCCTCATGGCTTCCCGGGGAGCGGGCACCCCCAGGGGCCGCGGTGCAGTCAGGGAACAGTGATCGGGGTCCCTGCTGATCTCACGCTCCCCAGCTATGCAGCCTCGGCAGTCGGGTTCATTTCTTTGTCATTGTCGTCTGCAAAACGGACTGAGTACTTGTTCTATCACTGCTGGCAAACAGAAAGCCCCCGTCAGCCCTTTTCATCTGAGAGGCTGTCGTAGAGATTAAATGAGTTGTTCAGATGTACGTAGGTCCTGGCACACAGTAAGCACTAGTAAGTATTAGCTGCTGTTATCATTACTATTCCTACTGCTGTCATTATCCCTATCCCTCTGCCTCCAGTCCCCACCACTCCCTTTTGTGACATCTGATCTGCCTCACACATTCCCATTACCTGCCGAACCCCGGGATCCAGTCATTTTTGGCCACTTTTCCCAGACTCTCAGATACTATAATATGTGACCTCTCTTTGAGCTATGCGTGCCCAAGTCAACTTCTCATCTTAAAATCGACGTACGTGTTCGGTGACCAACACCCAACAAGGCCAGGACTCATCACTCTCAAATTTCCCTTCAGAAGGGATGTCTGTAGAAGCCATCTTCATCCCTTATAAAAGGGAACCCTCCAACAAGCATGAGTCTGTAAGTCTTTAAACAGAAGCTCAAAGTGACACATTTGGCTTTGAAAGCCTTGTGATGAGTGTTCATCGAAGGAAGGCTTTGGAATAATGAAACCCGTCATTGTATACACCCGTGAAAAATGCAGTTGCACCAAGTGGGATTCTTAATGGTGGTTATCACTTTTTCCCCTCCCAATACAGCGTCCTTGGGGCCCATTCAATCAGTTATAGAATAATAGTTTTTGTATTCTTTTAGATGAAGATTCTTTTCATTTCCATTTATGTTTTCAATTTCCCCACTAGACATTGTTATCTGGGGCACATTACGGAATGATGAGCTCCGTGAAATCAGCGAGGAATCTGTTGAAAGGCACCCAAGGTTACGATGTATGTTAAGCTTTCTCTTGTCACGACTGGGAGTCCATAAGGGATTTTCTCTTTCTGAAGTAGAGACGGCTTGCATTAATCAGCAGAAACTATCTGGGTGCTTACATGGTCTCTTGTTCTAAGTGGAAAATAATTAAACGTGTAAAGATGAATAGATAGGGGCTTGGGGTGAATTCTAATAAATCCCTGCGTAGATGAAGCAAAGATTTTGCTCCTCACAGAAGATGGGGTCAGAGGTTTAGAGAATGAGGCATGAGTTAGTTTGGGAGAACGCGCAAGATGTAGTGGGAAGACATGCTTTGACAGCAAGTTCTTTTTTGTGAGAATTTCTAGGGGTGATTATTTTCTTTTGGGACACACAAAATTAACTTTCTTAATTCCTCAGGAAGTCAAGAGTGCTGACTTAGTGGCAACAAAGCTTTTCTCTAATTTGTGTTTATCGTGGCCCAGAAACCAAAAAGTGATTCTTCATATCGGTGCAGTGTTTTCCAGTTTAACATCTCTCTTCCATGTCCCCTCTGTACACCTGTGGGGGGGGGTACTGTTACCTCCCTTTTCCATAGGAGACAGATGAGGCTTCAAGTCGATTAATAACATGACTCTAGCCTATGGCCTCCCCACAGGGCCATGTTCTAGGCGGCAGGTGACACCTTCATACCAGTTCACAGGTTTTCAATAGTTCCATCGGAAAGCCGACTCAGAGGGGAAGCCCACAGTGTTATTTTCTCCCCTTTGCCCAGATACACATTTCGGTGATGAGACATTTCATCCCTTGGGAAGAGACTTTGAAAATCGGTTGGTTTTGGTGTTGACGTCTCTTCAGAAAGCAAATGCCGCCCATTGTTAGGTTTTCCGTTTTACTGTTTTTTAAAGGTTCCTGGAATAAAGCTTTGAAGAGGGAGGAACGGGGCCAGGCTGCTGACGTGAGACCAGGGATTGGCAAACTTTTTCTAGAAAGGGCCAGATAGTAAATATTTTAAACTTTGCCAGCCAGGTGGTATCTGTCAGAACTAGTGACCTCACCTCTGTAGGCTGAGAGCAGCCATAGACAGGTGTGATGGAATGGGTGTGGCTGTGTTCCAATAAAACTTTATTTATAAAAACAGATGGCTGGCCGGATTTGGCTTGCCGTTTGTAGCTTGCTGACCCTTGTGTTGGAACAGCGGTGTTCTTTCTGTTGCCTGGGGTGATCTGTGACAAGCTTTGTGCACCTATATCAAATGCTGTAGGGTTCTTACAAGAGCCGTGTGAGGTAGCTATTTCTCTCCCCCGTTTTACAGCTGAAGCTAGCAGAAACTCAGGAACACCAGCTAGCGAGTGGTGTCAGGGGGCTAGATCTTGGTCACCTGACCTCTAGCCTGGTGCTTTTTCTAGCATCATGCTCCACACATTGCCCACGGTCGAGATCCAAGGAGGTGAGTCCCTGAGTGGCACAAAGGTTAAGCGCTTGCCTACTAACTGAAAGCTTAGCAGTTCGAACCCACCCAGAGGCACCTTGGCAGACGGTCCTGGCGATCTGCTTCTGAAAAGCCACAGCCAGGAAAACGCTATGGAGTAATTCAACTCTGACACACATGGGCTCACCATGAGTCAGTGTCAACTCAAGGGCACCTGTTGGTATCCTGACCCCCACTTCATTCCAGTCACGAAAAAGTGCCACCACCAAGATACTCCAAGGCCTTTTGACTGCAAAGAAACAGCCACAAGAGATTTTGTTGTTGGTATTTGAAATGTTGCTTGGCTCTGGAAATCCAGTACGCTGAATAATTCTAGAGTCCATCTGGGAGAAATAATTCCAGTTTATAAGGTCCAGTAATTAGGACAGAAGCCCAGCCAGGCGTTGTAAGTGTAAGGGGGCTGCAGACACACTCAGCCGTGTTCAGGAATGTGAGTCAGGGAGTGTTTTCTTGTGTCCCTTATCCTGTGCATCTCCGTGTTGAAGACAGATTCCTGGGCACGGTTAGTTCTGAGCTCGCTTTCCGTTTAGAGTGAGACTTGGCCGAAGGGGGACACCGTGTGTGCCAGCCATTGATGGGCCCAGGTTTGCCTTTAGGGCACCAAGGGTGTGCTGGCCTTCAGAGCCACCGCACTGCCTGTCTTGGTGTCTTAGCACTACTGTAAAAGAGTTTCATGAGTGGGTGGCTTTAAAGAACAGAAATGTATTTTTTCACAGTCCGGGGCACCAGCTCTGGGGGAAGGCTCCCTCTCTGTCAGTTCTGGAGGAGATCTTTGTCTCAGCTTCTCTTTCCCCTGCGTTCCTGGGTTCTTTGGCGATCTCTGGATGACACCCATCTTTCCCCCATTTGTGCTTGCTTGTCTCTATGTCATGGCAGAAAGATGTGGCAGTCTGCTTCTGTAAAGATTACAGCCTTGGAAACACTATGAGGCCGTTCTGCTGTGTCCTACAGGGTCATATGAGTCGGAATCGACTAGACGGCAGTGGGTTTTGATTTGTCTCTGTGTCTGGGCTGTTGTCTATACCACTGAGGAGTGATTAGGTTTAGATCACAACCTACACTGATATGGCCTCATTAACTTAACAAAGAAAACCCTAGTCAGGCCCCAGTGGGATTACATGCACAGGTATGTGTTTAGGATTCCAGCTCATATGTTGGGGGGTCACAGTTCAGTCCATAACACTGCCTTTGCTTTCTCCTCCTGCAGAAGGCCACCATTAGCCACGTCTCACCTGATAGCCTCTACCTGTTCCGCGTCCAGGCCGTGTGCCGGAATGACATGCGCAGTGACTTCAGCCAGACGATGCTCTTTCAAGGTGAGGCCGATTCCCTTCCCTGCCAGCAGGGGGCAGTCCCGAGCCTCCTCCCTCTTGGTGATTGGTCTTTTGTGCTGTCACTGTGCTTGTGCAAAAGAAAAGAAGCCTGGTCTAAGACTCTATGTGGGGCTTTCAGCCCCACCCGGGAAGCCCAGTAATTGAGGCCTGTCTTTGAGGTTCAGGGTTGATAGGCCAGAAGAGGGCAAGAGGAAAGGGTAGATTTTTTTTCAGCTGCGCAGAACCGAGTGTTTGGAGCTTTCACCATCTGTTATCTGACGCTGTGTCAGGTCACACAACCACCTCCCAGGGGTGTTACTGAATGACTTCTGGATTCCCAGCATGGCTTAGTTAGCCTTTCTCCCCAGGACTGGAGCCCAAAACAAACACCACCCACCCTTCCAGCTCACAAACCACACAGACAGGCCCCAGCTCAGAGATTCCCTGAGCTTTCTGGAACACAGAAATGGGTTCCTGCTGATTGGTAGACTGGTAGAAAGTTCTCCATGAAGCGTTCACCCTGGGTGCAGAGGCTAAGGGGTGCCCAAAAACTCAGCGATCAAGGTAACTAATATTTTAGTGGAATATTTTTAAATGCAAAAAAAAATTCATGCTGATCAAAATATCAGAATTTTAAATAAAGATAGAAGCCACCCTGTTTTACTCATCCCACCCTAATCCTGGCTCTGGTTCCAATAAAACTTTATTTACAAAAACAAGCAGTCATGCCTGGGGTCTTAAAAACTTTCAAGCTGTAATCCAAGGCAGAAAAATTGGCCTCTATTAGCCTGGAGTAACAGAGGAAGGAGGAGAGTCTGGAATAGAAGGAAAAAATGGAATGTGTGGCAAATTGCCTCCTTTGCCATGAGACCGGAATAACTAGGTGGTACCTGGCTACCATTACTAAATATTTTGATCAAAAATTCTATAGATGAATTCTCATCAAAGTGGGGGGAAGTGCAGAACAGAATTTCAAATTCTCATGGACTCCAGGCTTTCTGGAGCCAAGGGAGCTGGATGAATCCCTGAAACTATTGCCTCAAGATAATCCTTAAACCTTACACCAAAAGTATCTCCTGAAGTCTTCTTAAAACCAAACAATAGCTTAGCTTAACTAATAAGGAACATCTGTCTTGAGCATTGTGCTCTTTCAAGGTCTATCCAGATGGGATCAAATTGACAATAGCAACTCCAAAGATTAGATAGGAACCTTAAGGGGCAGTGAGTTCATGTTAATGGGGGAGGGACAACTCAGAAAAGGAGGGGGAGAATGGTCGCACAACTCAAAGAATATAATCAATGCTACTTGTACATGTAGAAACTGTTGAATTGGTGTATGTTTTGCTGTGTATATTAACAGCAACAACAAAATAAAATTATTAAAAAAATAAAATGAAAAAAACAGGCAGTCGATCTGTGGGCCATAGTTCACCAATTTGATTGTTTCAATGAGCTAAGAGTGGGGGAAGGCACTGGGGTGTTGGACTCTGCCAGTCTGGGGTCCTCCCTGATCAGGTTCTTTACTTCTCTCTGGTCCTCAGTTTTCCCATCTGTAAAATGAGAAACCTACACACCAGGCCAGTGGTTCTTAACCTTGAGTCATGAGTCTGATGAAGGCTTTGGACTTTTTCTGTAGGAATTTCCAGAATTTTGTGTATAACTAGAGGGACCCTGTAAAGCGTGTGGTCCATGGGCCAGCAGCGTCAGCATCAAAGGGTAGCACGTGAGAAATGCACATTCCTGGGCTCCTCCCAGACCAACTGAGTCAGTCTCTGCAGGTGGGGCCCAGGAGTATGCATTTGAACAAGATGGCCTAGGGGAATAGCTGCATATTAAAACCCGGGCTCTGGACGCCTTTTAGTCCTGGCTGCCTCTTAGCAGCAACCTGAGAACATTCCTTCACTTCTGTAAGCTGCAGTTGCCCAATCTGAAAAATGGTAGTGCTCTGTCAGTGATAGGTGCTCATGAGGTCCTTGTAGAATGACATGGGATGATGCCTGTTAAATAGTTAAGGGTGCCTGGCTCTGCGGATAAACATCTCCCAAGTATTAGGTTTAATAAAACCAATAATAAATGATGAACCCAGAGCAAGAAACCGTCCAGTCTGGATTCCCTCTAAGGAGCCCTTCTAGCTTCGCAATTCTGCATTGAGTATATAAATATTCTTTGCTAATGTTCACATTGATTTCATCCTTCCATTTAAACTAATTGAAATTAGCATAGCTGCCTTTTTTTCATAAATAAATCATGCTCACTGTGCCCCCCTTACCCTGAACGTATTGGCCCCTTTCCCCATTGAGGTGGGACCGGGCCGAGGCCAGCTCTCTGCAGCAGAGGGGAGAGAGAAGAGAGGCTGGAGTTGGCGTCTCCTGGAGTCGGGGCCCTGGAACTTTGGAAACATAAATCATGATTAGGCCTCCTATGTGCTGCGAGCAGGAGCCTGGAATCTGCAGAACTGCCTTTCCAGATTAATAGGCCCCTGAGCTCCCTGGCTTCTGCGTGGACTTTGAAAAATTAAATGTTTGTAATGTAATTCAAAATTTGTCAGCTATAAATTTCAAGCACAAAGTATTTAAAATGTCTAATCCCAGGACTGGTTGAGAACAGCCAGTGTCTCCTTTGTGTAGGACTTTCTTTGCCCCGGGCGAGTCTGCTTGTTTTATATATTGATGTCATCTGGGTGTTGATACAGGGGGATGGACCCCTCACCTACTACCAGAATGAGTCTAGATCTTCCTACAGCATGCAGCGGGCAGTGTGAAAAACTCACCCTAGTCAAGGTGGGCTGGCTGAGTTTCTGGGGAGCCTCGTAGGTGCTTATGATCAGTAGGGGACAACTACAAAACTGATCAACTATTAAAACAAGTTAAAAAGCAAAAGAAAGCTCCAAGAACTTCCTGGAAGCTCATTCAGAATAATTCGGTTTGTCAGTGGTAACGTTTCCATCTGGTTGGGACGGATAAAGAAGCCACATGGAATATTTACCTTTTTATGGCAATTATAACAATATTGATGTTATATATAACATAACAGGACAATAATATATTATCATAGCCATGCATAATATATAACAATGAATATGTCGTTTACCTTATGGCAAATACTACAAAATAATAACAAGCAATATTTGTGGAAGGGCTCACAGACAGAGCCTTTTCACATAAAGTCTTTCATTTGAACCTGACTAGATGTTACTTTACAGATGGGAAATGAAGTTCAGAGAGGTTCAGTAACTGCCGAAGATCACGCAGCTACTGAGCAGAGTCCAGTTTTCTGATTCCAAAGCCCGTTCATTTATTGCCCGACAACTGATCATCCCAAAGAGTAAATACTACCCACATACACAACTCTTCAGCAAAAGGATAAAATGTTGATTACTAAGTGTTCAAAGTTTTTGTGCCATGCTCAACAGTTGTGGAAAATGAGGATTCCAGAGCTTTTCCTTTGTGCCCCAGACCCATTTGGCAGAGACTGAAGCCAACAGATCTTGTTCTCAGAATGGTTTTAAATAAATAAGTCAACTGCATGGGAGAGGAAACCAATGCTATTGCAATACAGTTGTCATGTTATTTTAAACACACGTTTTTGTGACGTGTTCATACATGTGCTTTTTAATTAAAGTATCAAATGCCACATGGGCCTGTCAAGTACTGTGACTTCGAAGTAGGGATGCGCATGACAGGTGTTCCAAGGTAGCTACAACTAGCCGGCTTTATGAAAACACCTGGGATTTCAATCCACGGCGAAGTTGCAGGTCCTGCTCATGCAGCTGAGGTTTGTGGCCTCCATTTATGATTCAGTGAACACGCACACGTCACACCTCCCACCCCTGAATTCCATGAGACGTGCCGACCCCAGGTGCACACTCCTGATCGGGAAGGGTCTATAGAAACTACCTAGTCACCAGGCCTGTCACCGCCCCGGGTGGAGCCTATACGAGGTGAAGGAAAATTGGACACGGTAATGGAGAGGCTAATTCACTGGCCTGAATTAGAGCCCTTTTTAAGAGGCAGGTTAAGCAGGTCTCCAGGGAACCTCGTTTCCTGTCTTCCCAAGGAGGTGTGTATACCTGTCTGAGGCAGCGAGGTATCGATCCCTGAGTGATGGTGGGAGAGGCTGTATTTAGTCCTGGGAGAGAGCCACCTGCTTCCTGCTGTCTTATTTGACCTAGATTCTAATGGTTGTGTCGACTCCTAGATGCGTCTGTTCTCCACACTGGTGTCTTTGCAGGGTTCGCTTTTCAACTATGCAGATTCTCAGCCCAGAGGGGCCAGTCAGGGAACAAACGGTACAAAGGGAGGGAGGCTCAGTGGGCATTGGGACAACATGTTCTGCCTGAAGGGGGCGGCCGACACTCAGCCCCAGCCCGGTGTTGCCCCACAGGAAGGAGAGCCCAGTGTTGGCAGATACTGTGATTTTCAGGATAAGCAGAAAATCGGATTTTTTAGATGGAAGCTAATGTTTACAATGTTGGTAGTGAATTCCATTTTAAAAAGGAAATATGCAGGTCACTTGCCATTTCTGGCTTAGGAAAAAATCACAGTTGGTACAAGTGGTACTTGTTTCGGTGATTAGCATGTTTTCCTAATTTTTCCGTGGTGTGAGTATACACAGGGAGCTGGCTTTTAGTTTATATAGCACTGTTGTTCTGTGAGATAGCTACAGAGAAGCAGTTTGGTATGTTTTCTTTTCAGTTACTTGTTTACAGTGTAATTTCTTTGTTTCTCAGCTAATACCACTCGAATATTCCAAGGGACCAGAATTGTTAAAACAGGAGTGGTAAGTAGAAAATGATAACTGCCTCCTCACGGCTGATTGCTAATTTGCCTGCAGTTAAAACTGTCACCACAAGGTGGCAGTATGATATTGTTAAACTGCTGAATGTGAAGCTGTTAAGATACAGAAAACGTTACATTATTCAGTCAATTCACTACGTTATGAAAACAAGCTAAACAACACAGTTAAAGCCACGGTCCTTTATTGTGTAATTTTGTCAAGGTAAACAACCCCAGATTTTTAATTATTTATTATCTGTGGAATCATTCAATGTAGGAGCTCAAAGGGGTTCATCGGTTCCAAGCCCCTCCTTTGACATATGCTAAAATTGAGAGATTGTCACTTACCCGAAGTTAAGTGGATTTGCAAATTTCTGGAGACTGAATTCATATGCAGGTCACCCCATTCCGAGTACAGCTGATAATCATAATGCTAATCACAGTGTATCTACTGAGCACTTCCTGGGTTTCAGGCACAGATTATTTTATGTACTCCTTGCAGCAGCCCACCAGGTCACTGTTACTATTAACCCCATTTTCTGGATGAGGAAACTGAGGCTCAGTGAGTGAAATTGATGTGCCCAGTTCCACCCATACAGTCCGTGATGGAGCGTTGACTCAAGCCCAGGAAGTCTCACTTCTCTGTATCAGAGTGTTTCAGTTTATAAGACGTTTGACATTTGAACTAGCTTCAAAACTTAGCATTTGCTAATTTGGTCATCCTTAAACCAAAAGGTTTTCAAAGTAAAACATGATTGTAAAGTTACGAGATCGAAGTTATTCTCGTTATTGCTTTGAGTTCCATGAATGATGAGATGCTATACACTAGGTTATAAGAATTAAAATTAAGCTAATAACTCAGAGAAATACATCTTGTTTTCCTCAAATACCATATGTGAATGAAACCCCACAATTGAGCCCAGGTTAGTGTGGTGGAAGGAATGAGTTGAGGGTTTGGACACAGGCAGCCCTGCTCTGAGCCTTCCCAGATCCGTCCCTGTGGGCCACCTGCACCTTGGTGTCCTCACCTTCAAAATGCAGGTGATAATCATTCTTGCCTCCAGGGTAGTATGGAAAGCCCCTGAATATACAGGAAAACCTGTGAAAGCTGGAACCTGTGTAAGGCAGAAACCTGTCAGAGAAGGAAGACTCAAATATTTTCCACTAAGGCGAGCGATAGAAAAGTGTTAAGACTGCACGCTGTCGAAGTCAGAAAACTTGCAAGACCTAAAAAACAGGGCAGTCCCGTCGAGTTCCAGCTCTCACAAGTTTCTCTGTAGTTACCAGTTGTTAAATGGTGCTCGTTATTGTTCTCTTCATCCACAGGGACATAGACTCGCCACAGGTAAACCCAGAGACTCTGAAAGCTAGAGTACCTGTCTGATGTCCAGGAGAGGCAGGACCGTAACACCGTTCCCCAAAGCTTGCAGTGGAGAGCGCAGCTCTTGTTTCTGAGCCTGTCACTGCAGACTGGCGGGCCACTTCCCCTCTCTGTCCATCTGTTTCCACACTGTAAGATGGTGGAGTTGGACTGGGTCCCCCAGGACCTTACCAGACCTAAGAACAATATATTCTCCACAAGGGCCAGTGAGAGTAGGTGAAAACAAGGAGCTCCTGCCTGGCCCTTCGTTTTCACTCCAAGAACAGTTGACCATCTGATGTTGCCAATTTATTCCTTATCTGAGTTTGTCTTTAAGCTAACTTTACTCACTTTTTTTGGCCACTTAACCTCATCCTGAGCAATATCAGTGAAAAGTCGGGTTTGATATGCAGGTTAACATTTTCAGTGTGTTGAAAGTAATTGTAAAACCGTTAAAAGAGCAGATCGTTTTCTCTGGGCCCCTTCAGGTCATCTTCCGCACCATTCTTTGGAAACCCCCCATGACAGATGAGTGAAACCATGTGAGGGTGCTGGCCGGGCCTCGTTCCCAGTCCCAATCACTGACATTTCTCTGCTTTGTCTTCCTCTGCCCCTTCCCCCCACCTCCCCGGGTGACCCTTTCAAGCCCACAGCGTCTCCTGCCTCCTCGGCCGACATGGCCCCCATCAGTTCGGGGTCCTCCACCTGGACATCCTCCGGCATCCCTTTCTCCTTTGTTTCCATGGCAACTGGGATGGGCCCCTCCTCCAGCGGCAGCCAGGCCACAGTGGCTTCGGTGGTGACCAGCACGCTTCTTGCCGGCCTGGGGTTCAGCGGCGGCGGCATCCCCTCTTTCCCCAGCACGGTGTGGCCCACCCGCCTCCCGATGGCCGCCTCTGCCAGCAAACAGGCCGGCCGTCCGGTCCTTGCCACAACAGAGGCCTTGGCGTCCCCAGGGCCGGACGGCGGTGACTCGGCACCAACCCAGGACAGTGAGGGTGCTGAGGAGGGGGCGAAGGATGAGAAGAGGGAGAGCGAGGATGGGGAGCGGGAGCACGAGGATGAGGGGGAGAAGGGCGCAGAGAAGAAGGAGAAGAACGGGACCCACACCGCCACCAAGGAGCAGAACCAAACGGAGCCCACCCCCACGCCCTCGGCCCCCAGCAGGACTGCGCAGGAGGGGGGGCATCAGACTATATCTGGGCACTCGCGGAACCAAACCACGGGCCCCACCGACCAGCCGGACGAAGCGCGGGGTGCCGGCCCAGGCCTCGACTCAGACTCAGCCACCTCCACCCAAGTGCCCCCCACGGTCACAGAGGACCATCACGCCGAGAGCGACCCCAGGAGACCCGGAACACCGTCCAGAAAGCCAGGGTCCCGAGGGGACCGATTTTCCGAGGATAGCAGATTTATCACTGTTAATCCAGGTGAGTGGTGCCCGTCCTCACTGAGGTTCTGGGCCACTGCTGAGTCTTTACCCTTTCGGGAAATGACAGAGGGTGGGGACCCCGGAAGGGTGTCCTGTGCCTGCAACTGCGTGGGACCCTGATGAAGAAGCTAGATTGGGGTGGGGGGTCTGCGTCTGTGTGTGTGTCACTCCCTATTGCACGCTACTAAGACTAACCCCTCTTTTCTTTGCTGGAATAAAATCTACTTGTCTCAGAATAACTCCATGGGCCTCTCCCAGGCGATGAAGTAAGTGAATTGAGGGAGATACCCATCTCAAGAAGTTTATTCAATAAGCGTTCCTTCTGTTATTCATTCACTCAGCATATATGTTTATGGGCTTGCTGTTTGGGGCCAGACTCTGGGCCAGGTGCTGAGCTGGGCGAGCACAGTCCCTGCCTCTTGAAGCTCACAGTGTGAAGAGGAGAACCAGAGTTGACAGACAGCAAGAGCTAGACTAAGACAGTTACCGCTGAGTCGATTCCAACTCATGGCCAGCCCCAGGTGTGTTGGCGTAAAACTGCTCGATAGGGTTTTCAGTCGCTGATTTTTCAGAAGTAGATCACCAGGACTTTCTTCCAAGGCACCTCTGGGTAGACTCAAACCTCCAACCTTTCAGTTAGATGCCGAGCACTTAACCTGTGCCACCCAGGGACCTCTAGAATGAACTCCAGGAAGCTAAGTATCTGGTAAGTTAGAAAGTAAGCAAGCTAAATGGTTAGCCGTCAAGCCAGAATATTAGCTGAGTAAAGTTTTAGGTTGTAAAATGGTAATAGAGGAAATAAGCAGAGTGCTGTCAAAGAGAATAATGGGGAGGACAGGAACCCAAGTTAACTAGCAAAGGCCATGATATGGAATGGACTCTGTCCCCCAACAATATGTGTTGTAAATCATGACCCCCTATATTTATGGAGGAGCCCTGGTGGTGCTGTGGTTAATGCACTCAGCTGCTAACCAAAAGGTTGGTGGTTCGAACCCATCAGCGGCTCTGCAGGAGAAAGATGTGGGAAGATGTGCTTCTGTAAAGATTTCCAGCCTTGGAAACCCTATGGAGCAGTTCTACTCTGTCCTATAGGGATCAACATGAGCCGGAATTGATTCCACGGCAGTGGGTTTGGGTTTTTGGTTATGCTTGTGGATGTGATCCCATTTGGGAATAGGGTTTTCTTTGTTATTTTAGTGAGGCCGTATCTGTGTAGATGTGTCTTTAGCCAATCACTTCTGAGATACAAAATTGCAGATTAGGTAAAGAAGACAGCACCCAGGAATGGGGAAGACAGATGTGGAGCTCTCCAAGGAAAATGCTGGAGAAAGAGTGACAAGGATCCCCTCCCCCAGCAGACAAAGAGAGCCTCCGCTAGAGCTGGCGCCCTGAATCTGGACTGCTGGCCTCCTACAGTGTGAGAAAATGCATTTCTGTTTGTTGAAGCCACCCACTTGTGGTGTTTCTGTTACAGTAGCACTGGATGACTAAGGCAGGCCACTCTGGAGAAGCGGCCTGGAGAATGAAGGATCCAGCAGGGCAGGGCTGGTGTTACCCCTGGGTGTTAGTCCAGGAGACACGGCCTCTGTCCCAGAGCTGCCATTGGCTGTGTGAGTCACCAGGTTATAGGTGGTGAGACCCGGGCATGGCCGGGCTGGCCTCTGCTTGCTGCAACCCTCGCCGCCCTCCCCAGGGGCAGGCTGTCATTCTGTCACGTGATCTTGATGTTTCTGCAAGGGAGCGGGAGCGTGAGCATGAGGGGTCGTTATTGTTGTTAGGAGTTTTCCTAATAAGAAATTCTTCATTTTGCCAGACTACAAGATGTTTAGCAACAATTTTTTTTTTTTTATTTGCATCTAAGCTGTTGTGGAGTTATAAGAGTGCAAAAAAAAAAAAAAAGCTACTGGTAAATATTTATTTGCTTTTGCACTTGTAAACATTAAAATTCATCTAAAGCTGAGATCTCGTATGTTAAGATACAACTTAGAATACATTTTCATGTTTTGAATTACATTCATCTCTAAAGCTGGTGTGGACTAATATTTTGCAGTGTGGGTTTCCTGTGGGTTTTGCTCATTTGGGCCCAGTGTGAGGGTAAGGGGCCGGGTAGCCTCCTGTGGAAGGGAGTCAGGGAAAAGCAGGGCCCCTTGTGAAGCTGTTTGAAGCTGTTCTGTGTGAACAGTGACATTCCTTCTAGGAGGTGCTGTGAAAAGTTAGATTTCTTGCGTATGAAGATATTAAAGAAACACCTCTGCAGGGCCCACTGTGTACCAGGTGCTGGAGTAGGCGTTGGGAAGAGAACACTGATCAAGACAGGCCTCTCTTCTCCTGGTTTACACGTTTCTAGTGAGGGATGTTGAGAATATTTCAGTAAACAGATCAAATGCTTAACTTCAAAAAGTGTTAAGTGCTAGAGTGGGGAAGGGGCAGAGTAGCGTCAGGTGGTCAGGGAGTAACATTTGGGCAGATACCCTAGTGGCGAGAAGAAGTCAGCCAGGCAGACACCCGTGGAAGAGCATTCCAGCAGGTGCAGAGAGCCTCCAGGGAAGGAGTCGGGTTTGGTCCAGGAGCTGTCAGAGGGCCAGTGTGGCTGGACCAGAGAGTGAGGAGGAAGAAGGGCTGAGTTCTGAGATGGACAGAGCTGGGATCAGGAAGGGGTTCTCAGCCATGCTGAGGATTTGACTGCCTGCAGTGGGAAGCCAGTGATGGGTTTTAGGCAGCGGAGTGACAGATCTCATGAACTTTTTAAAAAGATTGCCTGGGCCTCTGTGTGGAGATTGTATAGGGGAGGCGAGAGTGGACGCAGGAGGACCACTTAGGACGCAACAGTGATGGCAGCTTGGACCAGGGCGTTTTCTCAAGGACAAGTTGGCTAGGTTTGGAATCAACATTCGAGGTCAAGTGGTTTAGCCTGTGGACTAGGGGCTCTCACAGAGGAGTAATCCCAGCCTGCTCCGCTTAATCATTTCTTTGACCACACTCCCCAAAAATATGGTTGCCAAGAGCTTAGGTTGGAAACCCTAGTGGTGTAGTGGTTAAGAGCTACAGCTGCTAACCGAAAGGTCAGTGGTTCGAATCCACCAGACGCTCCTTGGCAACCCTATGGAGCAGTTCTGCTCTATCCTATAGGGTCACTATGAGTCGGAATCAACTCGACGGCAATGGGTTTAAGAGCTTAGGCTGAGAGTGTTTACAGCTGGAGAGAGGCAGGGTCTGAGCATGCCCCAGGTAAGCAGGTAATGAGTCCTTGCAATTGGAGTCAGATTCCCCATTGCCAAACTCCAGGGAAAGGGGAGAAGCAGCAGATGGGAAACCTTGGGGCTTCCCAGCTCCAGATATGGCGCACGTGGGTCTCCAGCTACCACCCTCCAGGCGTCTGAGTGTCTGCAGTCCTGGCCGAGCGGCTTGTGGAGTCAGAGCAACCTGGTAGGTCTGCCCTGTATTCACTGTGAGCCCTCAGCAACTTACTTGAAAGCCTATGCTCAGTGTCCTCATCCTTCAAGTGGGGTAATAATACCCTTAGTGCACGGGTGGTGTGATGAACAGTGCTGGGCACATACTATCACACAGCGTCCTTGTTGTTGGGGACAAGGAAGGAGATGCCGTCAGCAGCCCAGCGCCACCTACGACGATCCTTCTTAGCAGGTCCTTGTTTTTCAGTCCCGTGTGGACATAAAGACGTACTGAGACTGGGGTCCTCAGTTAGCTGGCATTAAAGATGACCTCTAGGCAGAGGCATAGCAAAGGGAGGCTGGAGGGGGCATTTGCCCCCAGGCGTAAGCCCAAGGGGACGCCAGAGGAGGGCGGCGGTGAGTCATTGCTCCCCCCAACCTCCACCCCACCCCCATTGACAAGGTCGGCTAGCGGGGGCCAAGTTTAGAGATTGCCCTGGGTGCTCGCTGCCCCCCTACCTCTGCCTCTAGGAACTCCAGCCCATCTACCACAGCAGTGAATCAGAGCACCTCCTTCTCGGTGGGAAGGTCTGCTTCTTCCCAGAGCAAAAAGGGGTCTTTCAGAAATGAAGGCAGTTCAGAGCTGGTGATGGTGGTGAGCGTTCACGGCAGTGATTGGCAAACCTTGTTTGCAGAGGGCCGGACAGTGAGCATCTTCAGGTTTGCGGGCCAGGGGTGCTGGCTTTGTTGCAGCCACTCAGCTCTGCCACGCGGCGTGAAGGCAACCGTGGAAAACACGTAAATTAACGGGCGTGACTGTCGTTCGGTCTGTGAGGCACAGTTTGCCAGTCCTGGGGTTAGGCAGAAATCTGCGTGCCTACATAGGGTTGAGGGCAGTCAGTGTGCTACGTTTAGGGTACTGGTGTGATGTTTGCAGAATCACAGCGGAATGCTTCACCTTTGTCCCAGCTTGCATCACTTTTTCCTTATATTTAAAATAGCTGTAGTGCAATGGAGCCCTGGTGGCACAGTGGTTAAGAGCTCAGCTGCTAACCAAAAGGTTGGCAGTTCGAATCCACCAGCCGCTCCTTGAAAACCCTATGGAGCAATTCTACTCTGTCGTACAGGGTCACTATGAGTCAGAATCAACTCGAAGGCACACAACAGCATTAGTTTATGGGTTATGATAAAGGATGTCAGTAGCTTTAGGGTTCAAACTAACACACTCCCCCTCAGTCCATGATCCCTCGGGTCTCCTCTTGCTTCTAGCCCATCCCCTCTTTTTCTCCCTCTTCTGCCCCCTCCAGCTTGGTGCTCATTTTTCTGATGAAGTTGCCGTCATTCTAATGTCGGTGGTGATTTATTTGAAAGACTTCCAAGGTATATTTGTTGAAATCTCTTGCATGTTTATGTATTTATTTATTTTTGCATTAAGTAAAAGCAATCATTTTAATCAATATTTAATTGCTTAGCAGCTCTTGAAAAGTTATAATGTTTAAAGTTAGAAACTATTATATTTTTACAAGGGTCTCCAGAAGGCTTGTTTAAATTCCTTTAATATTTGATAACATCTTTTTTTTTTTTCTTTTAGTCGTGCTTTAGGTGA